TACATCAAACAACTAAATGGATTTTACTTAATGTGGTTATAAGTTTATATAAGTCTTTATAAAGGCAAAGCCATTAAAATTAGATTCAAAGTAGAATGTCAAAGACTAGCATGAAAAGTATTATTGCATAGAGAAGAAACTGATTATGGGTAAAAGAGACACTCCCAACTTATATGGTATATATATCACAATTGCTACTTATCTACAACTGTATTCAGTTGCTGAAGGAGGAAAACTAATTTAATCAGCCATAGGAAGAGCTAATCACAGAACCACCTTCCAGAGCATGAGGATCTCAGAATGCAAATGAGACACCTGATGTGAGAAATAACCATTTCAGATAGTTTTAGGAGTTGAGCAGAGCAAGGAATTAGTGAGTCGGAGCTAATTTCTCAGGCAAATTAGCTTTTAATTTCCCATGTCACTTTATATTATGCAACTGTTTTGGAAACTTTCCTTAAGACAACATCTTCCCACCTGCATACTAGTGTTTCTTGCACGAGGTGCAAGAGGGCACAAATAAAGACGTAGACCCTACGGATAGCGTAGGGGAGAACATGACACTGACAGAGATCCAGGACATGTTACTCACAAGTGCTAAGGACAGCTAAGAGGTCACCCCTGCCTGAAAGCTTCAATACATTCAGTATTTCTACTACCATCTTCTGCACATTTAACTTCTCAATTAGAAGTACCTAACCAGCCACCAAATCCCATTTCCTGACTGGTGTCACAAAAGCCATATGCTCAACAGAATATGTCAATCAATTACTAAGAAGCCAAGGGGCAGGGAGGTGACAACAAAACAAGACAGTAAAACACAGGGCTGTTTTTAATCATATCTAGTTGCCTATGTGAATCTGATTACAAAGCTTTATATTGCTCCTCCTGAACAGGCCTCCCAAACCTTAAATTCTGGCTGCTAAAAGTGTTTCTGAACAACTGAAGATGCCTGCCATCACTGCAGCCAAACACCTGCGAATACACCAGTTAACAGGTGAAAACACCATGTGAAACTGGTGAGAGGTGCAGTGTGTAACTGAGCAGGTTTTGGCTGGACAAAGTAGCTTGTGTGTCAAACGCCTTGTGCTGCTAAATAATAGAGTTGGACTTTCTGTATAAGCCAAGTTGGCATCCTACAATAGGGATGATGACATATTTGCATGTGGCATTTTCTGCTTCTGCACTATATCAAATTTTCCGCTGCAGTGTCAGGAGAGATTTCTATCTACTTCTGCTTAAAGAAGCCAGATAAGGACAGCAGTTCTATACCTTTGTTATCTTTTGGAAAAGGTGAGTTTGCAAACTGCCTTTGTTTTCTACAAAAGTCAATGTACAGCTCAAGAGAATGTAAATCCAAGTTGCCAGTGATTTCTTCACCTTTTCCACTATGCTACCAAAATGATGAGCATATTTACAATAGTCGTGTGCCATTTGCCTCAGAGGGGGTCTCAGTTATAAAAAGAAAAGAAAACAGTTCTATATTTCCATTGTAAGATACAAAATCAAAAAGTTCACCAGAGAGATGAACCGAAAGCAGCCAATTGGCCCTCCTTCACTGAGTGAGGTTCCTTGATCTGGAAAGATTACTTCATAAGGTTCAGAATATCTGCAAAAGACCTTTTGCCTCAAGAAAACGTCTATTAAAATGGCTTTTTAAAGGAAAATATTTCTTGTTAAGATCTTCCTCAATTTGTGAGGGAAAGGAAAACTGCCTGGGAACTTGTTCTGATTATACTTTGTATTTTGTTCATTGTGTTGTTCAACCATAACCACATCCTGCAGACAAAAGCCATCCAAGGCTCTCATCATCTGCACCCAGGGCAGCAGTAGAGATGTGCTATCACTGATCAAGAGAACTATCTCCCTAGACAGGAGAAGGAGAAATTAAGATGCACTATATTTAATAAATGGTTATCTATTAATAAATAGATAATGGCGTCTAATGATAAGCATTGACTGTCTTTCATTTCATTTGTCATAACAATTAAGGGTCAAGTTTACAGAATATTTTTCAGTATTTGGCTTTATCAAAGATAAACAGTACATTCCAGGTTGCTGCTGTTGATGCTTCTTTTTTGAACAGCAGCAATAGTATGGGTTCTGTAATCCTAATCTGCCAGTATTTACAGGGTGACCAGTTTGTGCTGGGGCCACAGAACCCTGAAGGAAGCAGAAGCTTTCTCAGGCAGAACAGCTGGCACAGATAAGCAGATAAAATATTAAGATCACGTTCTTAATCTTACAAATTTCTACACAAACTGAAAATCCTTCCAATCTGGTTTCCTTCATGTACACGCACAATAAAAGTACCAGGAAACAGACTACTGTATCAAAACCTAAAGTGAAATGATAAAGCTCTTTTTCCCCCCCCCACCCCTTCGTCAAACATGCAATGCAAATTTTGAAAACTTAGCTTTTGGGAAGCTCTAATTACAAATACCTTTTACCACCTTAACATGGATTGCTCATATATGACAGAATCTGGAAAGTTGATTAACGAGTAAACATTCCTGAAATCTGAAAAGATGAAATCCATCAAAGCACTTAAAAATGGTTGGGAGCACAGAAGGGTTAGGGGTAGATTCTATGTAAGTCCTGCCCTTCCTTCTCACAGGGAGATCTGGAGTGCACAGGACAGTTGTCATGCAGGGGTAGGAATTTACTTGCGTTCTGTCCAATCTCCAGGGGCCATTATGGTAAGTGAAGACTTTTGACATGGAACCAAAAAAGGCTGTCCTTATCTGTAGTCTGATGATTTTTGGGTCATGATGGATACATAACCAGACTGCGTTAGAAACAGCATGGCTTTCACTAAGCATTTATCAGCCTCTATTTGCATGTTTAACAGAGGGAAAAAACCCCACCCAAATATCCAATTTAAAGCATTGAAATATGCTTCCACCATGTCCAAGATGCACAGGAAGGGGGAGGAACTCCTCCCACGGATCCAGGCACTAGAGGAAAGAACCCTGCAGAGCTCAGTTTTGAGTCGCAGGATGCAGCTTCCCTTACTGCTTCTGAAGTTTCTTATCTTCTGAGCCTTCTTGGTGTGAAGCTGAGAAGCTCCCTGTAGCAACAGGCTGTGAAAATACTCTAACATGAATGGCAAACAGATCCTACATTCATTCTTCTATTCCTTCTTCTTCTCACAGCTGATGACCTGTCTTGGGGGAGGTGTAGGGTGGCCTGGCAGCAGCAGAAAGCACACTAGGCATGAAATCTGCCAAAATTACTAACCTTCATTAACTCTTCAATATTACTCTTTTCCATGTGTTCAGAAGGAAATATCTGGCTACAGTCCCTGACATTTCCAGCTACAATGTTCAAATACAGAGCACTAAGGAGAAATGGGGTTTTTTTTTGTACCATTTTCAGAATAGTAGGTGCATTTTCTCTTTGTACAAACATGCAAGATGTCACACAAACTAGAAATACACAGTAAAAAGGACTGAGCAGAGATGCTCCTCCTTTGCCATGGTGCTAATCAGCAGCATAGTAGCTAAGTAGGAGGCACTATTGTAACTGGGGATCCCATCTTGTGGGATGTTCAGTAAAGCTCTGTGTTAAAGTCCAAATGTTGGGTACTGTTCTACATCATACTGGCTCAAAACAACTAATCCAACAACTGTATGCCTTCCAACTGGAGCTAAGAAGCTGAAGAACAAATACTATGAACACCTGAACGCTGAGAACAGGCCTCTTCCTTTCTCACCCATTGTCCTCTGATCCTTCTGCAAAGAACAAAGCTGCTCTGCTACGGATGTGTCAGTACAACCATTTCCATGACAACAGCCTAGGATTTGCCAAATATAGACATTTGACTTCAACAAACAGAGAAGGAAGAGACGCATGACTAGATGGTTTTCTGCACCTGCATTTAAAACCGGTTCCATCCTTATGGCCATGGGCAAACACTCAGGTAGGATTTAATGGTGGCCCTTTGAGATACTAGTGCTTTCAGCTGTTAATCACCACATTTCTGCCACCCATGCTCTCTCCTGCTGCAGAGGGGAGAGAACCAGCTGCCTAGCTTCACCCTAAGTTCTCCAGTAGAGAGTCAAACAGCTGAACATTAACTGCTGATGAAGGAAGGTTTAAATGTAGTTTCCCATCCTTATTTTGAAAGAACTGGCTTATACACTCATTTCATTTCACCAGCTCTGTTTTGAAGGTAGAAGACTGGCAGGAGCAAAGAACAGACGACTTCTTAAGTCACATCAGAAGGACTTGCCAGCATTTTCCTCTTTCTCATAGTCAAGTGAGGTTCATGCAGCAGTGTCTCCTGCAGAGTACTGCGAACAGCATTAGCCATTGAAGAAACCCCATTGCAGTGCAGGACCTGACCTGAGGCCCTTATCAGCATCTGCTGCCTTCACATAATACACTGCATGTTATAAGACAAAACATAAGCACCTTGCTCTTCTTCCTGTACTTCAGGCCCCTAAGTATATAATTCTGGCACTATTAGAGCATCACAATGTGTGAATTGCTTGGGGTTTTAACATCAATCCATTTAAAATAGTGAATGGGTACATACAGCTACTGTTAAACTCCGAAAATCCACTAAGAGACCCTCAGTTGCGTGGCTCAGATCCTCGACCAGTGCTATGCAGTGAGCCAGGAAATTCCAACCTGCAGCAGAGGCCGAGCTCTTTCTGTGGCCCTTGTAGGGTACTTGAAGCAGTGGTTTTGATCTATGGCCCAGCTCTGTTTTCCTTTTGATTATCTTACAGACAGTGCTTAGCAACCCACACAAGCTTGTCCCTTGTATT